CGCGTCGTGATGGTCGTCCTTTCCTGCGATCACGAAGAGTACTTGGAGGCACGTTGTAGAGTGCTGCAGCGCGTTGAAGTGGAAGTGTCGCGTCTTCTTTAAGAGCCTGTAAGGCAAGCTGTATTTGATTCTCACGATTTTGTTGCAAATTGTTGTAATTTGTTGTAAAAGCCATCTTTGTTGCAAACTTGTTGCGATTTTGGTGGGGGCTTGGCACGACCCACGGCTCGTCCATCCCCACGGCTCGTATGCCACCTACGTTATAGATATTGTCTACTTATTACTAACTAATTAGTATCTTAGCAGTCTAAAAAGTATAGAACTTAACCCCCCCTGCTATCTTAATAATTACTAGAGATATTACTTTAATAATTTTATTCTATAATAAGGCTACTATCTAGTTTATTTATTTAAAAAAAAATCTTAAAAAATCCTAAAAAGAAATCCTAATCCTAAGCCTATCTTTAGGGATAGAATGTTGCCCGCATCTGCATCGCCACCGCCGAAGCTGGGTTGTTGCCAATGCGACCGGCTGGCAGGCACACGATGGCGACGTTATGGCCACCTATCGGTCCCAGGGCGTACGTGTTCTCGTCGTTGTCTCCGGACTGGTGCTGCAGGTTGGCGTGCTCTTCGTCGAGCATCTCCTGTGCCGTTGCAAACTCGACTGGGAGGGCGCCTACCCATCCCACCGTGCACTCGTTACGAGGTAGTTGTCGCGACATTCGCGCGAGGAATAGAAAGAAAAGAGAGAAGACCGTTACAGAGCTAGGCTCATGGGTGTGGGAGGCTGGGGTTTTTGCTCTCTGGCAGCCAGCAAACCAGCCTGTTGCTGCTCAGCCTTATTGCCTGTTTTACGGCGCGGCTGCAGCTGCCCGCTACCGTGCGGGCGTAAATGTGCGGTTCCACATAGCGCAGGCACTGAGATACCAATGCAAACGGTGATAATGATTTGTCCATTTGTCATGCATACTAGTCTGTCGCATATCTGAGAGTGCGGTGAGAACAAATAGCAACGGAAGGAAATCGGTGGTTCGCAGTATAAAAACCACCGCGGAGCTAGCAGTGTTGGTGGGGCAAGCCCGCTCAGGCCTAATTGCGCAACGAAACAGCCGTTGTCCTAGGAGCTTATTCTGATCCCCACGAACCATCCTTTGGCGCCCGCTGTGGGCCTGGCAATGAGTCCTAATGTGGCTCCCTAGTACAAATCCAGCGCATATCAGAGAGCCTGTACAAGCTCTCACCACACCTTGTACCAACAACCACTCACCTCTCTCTTTGTCACGAATCGTCCTTCAATTCTTCCTCAAACCCTGAAATATCGCCTCCAGCACAAGGTTAGGGCAGGAGCGGGTCGGCCATCAATATGTGTATGGTGGCAACATAAAGTACTGCCTCGCACAGCTACATCTCACAATGGCTACATCTCACAATGATGCGTAAGCGAACTGCTGCACTTCGACTATACCATTTTAGCACAACACTTAGAGCTGCTGCTTCAACGATAATTTATTTCTCACGTTTCTCATTCTCTATGAGCTTTTCTTTTTATCATGACTCATAATCTTAAGTTAATGCAAAATTCGGAAGGTGTTCGAGACAAAGAAATAATATGCCAGGGGAATCGCTCTGCTCATGAATTCTCAGCTTCTAAGCATGAGCGTTAAATGGTTCGTGTTAGTTAGCAGCCTGTCTGTTTGGGTACTCTTCTCGGGACATTCAAGCGCACCGCGACCGTCGCGCAGAGAACCTATCGGAAACATATTTTTTACCCACACTGTTGTTAGCAAAACCGAATAGACATGCGCAGGCCTATACAACTGGAAAACGCAGCAACCATTAGATAGCATTTACTTCCTAGACTATTCTACATACAGGCTCAGGGACCTCGCCACATAGGAGGAAGAAGGGGGGGCACGTGTTAGGACCCTAACTAGGCTAGCGCGCCCTCGGCGAAGCAGTTGTTCTGTCACGGTTTATGGCTCTTACTGTCCAGGATGTGGACAGCCCTCATGGTGGAAGCATGGCGGAATGTGATCATCGACCGTGCATAGTTAGGGTAGCTCTTCCCTCAGTTTGATGGCGTCACTATAAAAGCTGTGGAAGGTAGGCCGTGCTTGCTGTAGACATTCAAATGGACCGTCGACAGCTCGTGACAGACCTGCAATCTGACACCTGTAGCCGCCGCGGACCTTGAAATACGAGCATGGCGATACATCGCCCCGGCCGCACAAGGCCGTTGCATAGTGATAATCAGACCTCTTTAAACTGGCATGAGAGATAATAGAAGACAACGAGGCAGAATTCAAAGTCCCTGGTATGTGTTTCAGTCTTGTCATCGATATGGGGGCTGCGAGGTTTGAATGTAATATAGCGTGCAGCAAGGCGAATGGGGCTGAGCATGCAGCACTTGTAGGTAAAAATAGATTGATGTGTAGGCTGCTAAAACCCGTTCCCCGCCTCTGAAAAACAACATTAATCCGTTTATTTGTTCACTGTGCTTGATCTATCATTAGGACTGGTATATACTACTCATGATACGGCAAATAACTCCTTAAGGAACGGAAGGGAGTTGTATATGTGAATCAAGTCTGTTTTATTTACCATGGCTAACTTGCGACATGCTGCGCGAAGCTTGTTTCGGTCTAACAATGGCGGTCGCGTTGCGCCAGAGTGGATTGGATTGCAGTTGTTCAGTCGGTCAGTTTTATATTCTCCTTCCATTCTCGCCACTCGATAACGACATTGATACCCCACTATTGGGACTACTGTCTCCTTTTTTGACACTCGCCTACGTCTAAGATACATGCGCAAATAATCCCAGCCTTGACTCCATTTGTCGTCCAATCAGCGACTTGAGCGCTCAGTCTTACCCCTTACTTCGCTAGTTTACCTCTTTTTCTACCTCATCGACCCTTCAGCGCATTTAGACATGTAGTGTTACGACGCCGGAACCTATGAGGACAAAGGAGCTATCAAGTACTTGGGACGGAAGTCGGAGATCAAGGCCAGAGGGCTTGACGACACCCAAGGACGGGTCACGTGATCCAACGTCACGGGGACAGAGTGATCAAGGTGATCAAGCCTTGGCAGAAGTTGATAAGGCCAAGACCTTGAGCAGCTTGATCATGATCAAGGTGATCAAGCCTTGGCGAAATCGTGAAAAGCCAAGATCTTGAGCAGCTTGATCAAAGGACTAGGAAGGACGGATATATAAGATTGCCAGATTTCATATGTAGGAGTTCTTCGTAGTCAATAACAAATTGTATCTGATCTTTTGGAATCACCTTACCAGTACAACAGTAGCTTATCCCCCCTGGATAAGTCAGAGTTATTACCCTGTCTTGATACTCGCTTTACCCTATACAAACCTCTGCGATATACCCCTCTTACCTTGTGTAGTAAGTTACCTATCGTTACATGTAGACGCGTAGGGGACGCGTTCCGTCGCGTCCTTTCCATCATGTTCGTTCGGTTCTACACTTACTTAACCCCCCCTAACACTTACCCCTCCCCTTAGGAATCCATCCTAATCTTTACATCATCCCACTCTTCTCTCTCAAGATACTTCGTTCTTCTTTCTCGTAATGGATATATTTGCGTTCTATCCTCAATACCAAGTGCTAGTGTGCAAACGCTGCGCATATGCTGTTGCTCCTAAGCACCTAGCTAGTCATATCAAGACAAAACACCCCCATGAAGCTTGCCATGATGCTGGCCTGCATCCTGCTCACCATCGGGTTGGGCGGCTAGCTCTTATGCTTGCCAAACGTCTCCAAACGCGACACGACCTCCTCGATCCAGCCGTTAGCAAGATCCCAGTACCATTGCCAACAGAGCGGCCCCTCTCTGACCTAAAGCTTTACCGTGGGATCCAGTGCAGTCGCTGTGAATATCTTCTCACTAAGACAAAGCATACCATAGTCCTTATGGGTAAACATTTTAACCAGCACCGACTTCTTCCACGGAAGCCCGGTAGACAGAGTAAAATAGCAGACATACCAGAGGCGGATAAGGGTCCTATGTTTACAGACGTCTACTGCCAGCGCTTCTTTACTTCAGGCCCACAAAGCTCCTTCTTTGCAGTCCATGTCCCTACTGTAGTTCAGGAGCTAAAAGGACAACCTCAGTTACGAAAGGCTGACCTTCTCCGGGCTATTATTAACGAGCAACTTGATGCTAGTAACGGCAAACAACAAGTCACCGCGCAAACATATACCAGCCAGACTACTAAGACAGAAGTCTCGCCTTGGCTCGAGCTAACAAGGTGGCCGCGGTTCTTTGATGGATTGGATATGACCGAGGTGGCTCCTCTTGCCTACCTGCCTAATCCTCGCACGGAGCCGGGCCTAGCTGCGCTCGGAGAGAGCTTCGATCGTATCATCGAGCAGGCCTACCTTTCTATTTGCGAGGATCGAATTAGTGTGTTCGACCAAGCCAAGATCAACAGTTTCATCAGCGATCGAAGTAGTAAGCAGGAACGCCTGATTATGGTGAAACTGCAGAAGGGAACATTTCGTGTGTACAAGGGTCTTTGGAAGCGTCTTCTATGCTTCACCTACCGTACTAGTCTGCCTAGCCAGAAAATACCGCTTCTCCACCGATTCACAAGCAACCAGCTGTGTGCGTTGGACAAGGCCATGACGCTTGCCGAAGAGCTGCTCGCCCTAAAGGGCGCAGGCAAGGATGACTGGCTGTACAAAGAGGAGGAACGTAAGAGGGTAGCTGATCTGGATAAGGCATGCCTGTTGCTATGTGTCTCGCTGCTCGACCATACGCTACGAGGGGATCACTTCGAAAGCGTAGTCCTTAGCTTCCTCGCAGTATTGGGCATTGACGAACAGCCTGGAGGTGTCTTTCGCGGTCCTTTAAGCTACTCCCCGGACCTTTCTAAGTTTATCAAGATGGCGCAGATGGTGGTCGTGCAAAGGGCTGTTGTTGGCGCAGAGGAGGGCGAAGCAGAGCACCCATCGGATCTTTTAGACGAGATGAGAGAGCGCTTTATGGTGCGAGGGACGCGAACTGCATTTGACTGGGCCTACCGTCTTCGCTCCTATGCAAAGAAGATGGTTAATAATACCACCTCCCTTGGCTATATATCATGGTCGGAGGATGCACAGACCGTTATTTACCGAGACACAACTCTGAGCATGACCTCTCTTCGAGATTTCGCTGCCGACCAGGTACAGAGAGCCCAGATAGAATTAGAGGAACTCCTCCTCCTACATCCAGACGAGTGTCGCGAGGACATTGTCCCCTCCGTGTCGCTCCACCGCCTGAAGGACAACCATGCCAACAGCCAGAAGCACTGGAATTTCCTCAAAGACCCCCGAAACGCGGATCAGCTTAAGGTTGGCGACAACTGGCTCCTTAATAGAGTGCTCGAGAATGACTGGCTAAAGGACGACATGATGAGCTTTACTCCAGAGCACGAGGTTCGCTGGAAGAAGGACGTAGTTCAGGAGTACTTCTCCCGGGTAGATCAATTTCTTAAGCGGCTGCTTCTCCTCATCCATATCACTTCGGGCCAGCCTGCCCGTGGCACTGAGCTCTTGGGCTTGCAACCTAGCAATACGGCGCAAGGACATCACCGAAGCATCTTCATGGAGGATGGCTTGGTAAGCACGGTGACATCTTACCATAAGGGGTACAACATTACTGGTTCTACTAAGATCATCCACCGATATCTACCAAAGGAGGTTAGCGAATTGCTTGTATATTATCTCTGGCTCGTCCTCCCGTTCTGGCAGCAGCTTGATGTGCTAGTGTATAAGCGAGAAGAGCCGCCTTCCTCATTTCTATGGCCGAAGGGAAATGAGAGTTGGAAGTCAAGTATGCTAACTAAAATACTCACCCAAGAAGGAGAGAGGCACTTCAAAACCCGCCTGAATATCGTAATCTACCGTCACATCGCGATCGCGATCTCACGCCAGCACCTTCCTTGTGGTGGATTCAAGCGAGACTACGGCATTGACAAGAAACTAGCGGACGAACAGGCAACCCACGGTACTTGGACCGCAGGGACAGTATACGCAAGAGGCATGCAAGAAGCACCAGGCCATGTTAAGATGCGGAGCATGGAGTACAGAGCGGTGAGCCGGGAGTGGCATAGCTTTCTTGGGTTTCGAGTGTATCATGGAGCCCGAAAGCAACCACTTACTAAACATATAAATTAGCGTAATAATTTTAGGTAGTTAGAGGCGTAGGTAGCATAAGTAATGCGTGAGCCGCAGTAGGATATCATTCATAGTAACGTATTTGACAAGCGAGCTGCGAACACGACCAACTTTCCAAACACCTTGATTCCAAACAGCAATTACACCACCTTCTACTTCTGGTGCTCCGTATCGTAATGCTGATATTCACCTGGCTATATTAGCTATCGATTCCAATCAAATCTCCAATGTTTTAACAGCTGCAGGTATCTACAATGTCCCTAAGGCCACGCTACGTAGCCGACACGCTGCGTAGCAGACGCGCTAGCACCTACTCACGACGAGGTTGTGAGCCCAACTCGAAGAAGCTTACGAAGCTAGAGGAGGAGATGATAGCTGGATATATACTTGAGTTACATTCACAAGGTCTCTCACCAACCTACACTGCAGTGCAAGATATGGCTAATCTACTATTAATATTCGGTTACCGGATATTAACCTGATATCCAACCCTACTATAAAACCTGATATCCTCCTTATTAAATATAGTAACCCTAAAAAGAACATGATATCCTGGTAGACATACCTAATATCCTACTGTAGAACCTGATATCCTGGTAGAAAAACATGATATCCTATTATTAGGGATTCCTTATTTCAACA